TTTCTTTGTCTCAAGGGTTTGATAACATCCTTGCAATCATTTCCATTTTTTTTTTTTTTCAATCAATCCATCTATGTTGGGCGGTTTGTCTGTCTTGAGAGGTTTTTCTATTCCCTAATATCGGCACTGGTCCACATCTGTTGGGCAACTATAACATTCATGACACAAGCTGATTGAAATGATAACACAACACAACTATAGTCTGGTTTTGAGAGGAAGTCAGAACTGACGCTCGGTGCCTCACATCCACCATCGTCTCAGCCTCGTCACAGTTGAAGCGCATTTGTTTGACTTTCAAACTGTATTTTCTGGAAACACAGACTGTCAACTCTTGCGTCACTCAGGTACACACAGCCCCAGAGCACAGGTACACATTAACCCACAACCTGGACGAGCTAGAGTTAATGTGAACTGATTCCTCTGCTTGTGTTTGGATTTAAAATCTGACTGTGACCACGGCTTCACACACAGTTCAACACTGTCACCGAGAGCAACGCATTGCCACATCAACTTAGTACGACTTGTACGGACTGATCGAACCCCCCCCGTAGTGTGGTTTAGTGTTACAGCTTAAAAACGAGTTTATCCACATTTGGATGAGCTGTATCTAGACTGGAGTGACAGCCCCCCCCGGGCTCCACTCCAACACAAGTGTCCTTCCTTAAAACAACCCGTGTGAACACAGCAGACAGAAACACAGGAATCCATCAAACCGGTGACAGGCTTCAATGAAAGCTAGAGTATCAGCCTGGTTGTTAAATTTGACCTAAAGTTACAATAACCTAGCAGCTCGTTTAGCCACCGCGCTAACGAGCATTAGCACGCGCGTCAAGCGGTGCTAACACATAAACGTGCAAACGTCTCATACCGACCTTGTCAAATAATCCCTGAACTCTTTGCTCTTCAGGTGATCGATAGCTTTCCGGGCGATAGTCGCGGCCATGGTTGAACGCTGTGCTGTGTTTCTGCCGAGAGAGGAGCTGCGCTTCCCTGAAGGACGACAATGTGCAAACTGAGAGCAGAGGGCGACCGGTCACATTTCCATCAACAACACAGCGCTTTACGACACCGTCGTAAAGAGGCAGCGCAGACGCTCTGGTCGCCTGATACGATGTTTTGTAAATATACTTATAAACATGCTCTAAAAAAAATCATGCACTTTATGCATAACAACATAGGAAATATAATGTAAAGAGTCAGCATTCATATGTGTACGTTATTGAAATGTATGTTCTTCCCTTGAAGATGCCCGTTGCACAAAACTAGGATTCTATTATGAGAATATCCTCTGACACCATTTACAATGTTTAAAATATGTTTACACTGGATTATCTGACCTTCATTCGTATTTCTGTTCCAGTCTCTTTTATCTCTTGATTCTTTACAAAAGCACATAACATGTATTGGTGCTTCTGTTATAAGTTTGTCATCTTGGACAATTTAGAATATTTAAAATATTAGTACGCTTGTTTAGTTGAGCTTCATTGATATTTCTGTCACACTCAGACTTTATTCCTCACAAGACACAGCTTGTCTTTAGGTTCTGTGAAGTATAGAACTCTCAGACATGTCCTGTGGACAGATCTACACTCTGTGGGACGCTTCTCTTCAATGTCTGTCTATCGCTTCTATTTCTATGTCTATTGCGCAACCACGCTCGCGCCGCCTTGCGCGTTCCTTTCCATCCGCGCGCCCGTAGACTCGCCAGTGTGTCCACGTTGAGGGGAAACATCAGGGAAGAGAAATGCCGTCTAAGATCATGTTTGACACCGAGGACCGAGCCCTGGAGGACGAGATGGACACCGCCAGCGAGGTTAAAGCCCTGAAGGTGAGCGCAGAGGCTCCGTCCACCGACAAACATACGTAGAGTGGACGTGCTAACCAGGAAGCTAGGCTAACCGACTAGCTAGCTGTTGGCAAACAGGCGTAGCATTGTGTTGTGAACTGTGAAACGCTGCTTACATCGTGTAGTTAACGTGAGTGGCTGTGAATCGGTGTTGTTGTGATGTTAGCACCGCGTGTAGACTGACTATGTTAGAGTTTGGTTAGCTGTGGATCACATGTTCTGTCCACGTGTTACCGAAAAAGCATGGACGCCTTTAAAACACCAGTTGCACGTGTTTGTATCTGGGCTGGTGTGTGCGCGCGCACGTCGATCAGCTGGGCTCATCAGCTGTCCGGCAGGTTGACTCCTCATAAGAAATGTAAATGATCGTGACTGGAGCTGCTGCTATTGATTCATATTATTGCGCATTACTGATATTTTCATTACCCACTTACATTAAGATTGGGTTGCATTGTTTTGTGAAACTTTAACTGCTGTTTCCACGAACTTACCTCTGATGATATTTTGATATTACTTTTGACATCAATTTAACAGCAGTTCATAGAAACTAAAGGTTGGTTGGGATTTCTACGACAAGGCAATCAAAGTGCTTTACATAACGTTTAAAAGGTATCAAGACAAAGTGTTCAAGCAACATAAGACAATACATAAAATAAGCATTAAAGCATTTGGGTCTAAACCATTTAATTACTTTATAAACCAACTGCAGGATTTTGAAGTGGATTCTTTGACAGCCAGGGAGCACTTAATTATTTTAGAACTTTCTTGGTGTTAGTGAGGACTCGAGCAGCAGTTATAATTATTATTTTGACATTACTGGAATAATTAGATTTTTTTATTAGAATGTTATCGTCTAAGTTGATAACATTCAATGCAGTGTCTATGTGTAAAACAGATATTTGAAATGGAGGGTTGAGTAGCTACACCGTATTTGATTTAATCCAAACCTATTTGTCTTTATTATTTCTGTTAAATAATAATAAAGAAAAAGAACAAGGAGGAGAAGAAGTTGAAGAAGAAGCAGTCTGAGGAACAAGAGGAGCAGGAGGACCCAGACTGTGAACCTCCAGCACCGAAGAAGAAAAAGAAAAAAGAGAAGCTGGCAGCGGACCAAATTAACGGCCATGATGAGGCCACAGACATGAATGGCAACAGTAACGGTATTGAAACACCAAAGAAGAAGACTAAGAAGAACACTGAAGGAGACACAGAGGTCAGTGCTTTATTGTTTGTGTGTATATGAAGTAGATAGGGTCATTGGATGATCTGTTCTGTTAAAGGCTACAGAGGTGATTCCTGACAGAAAATAATTATATTAATATTAATGTAAATACACATTCTCTGGTTATGCTCTGGTAAAAAATGTTATCTCTGTCTCCACTCCAGAAAAAGAAGAAGCAAAAGAAAGCAACTGTAGAAGCAGAAACCAATGGACATTCCACCCAGACACCGTCACCGCCGAGGGAAGAGTCGACCAGTGACAGCGAGAAAGAAACGGTACGACTCATGGACGGAAAAGATCCAAGAAATGTGTGAAACAGAATTAGACTGATATTGTGAGAAGACTAGAGATGCAAAGAATCATCTCACGGCGCGGGTTCTCTTCGCAAGAAGCCGCTAAATTTAGAAACATAACAATTACATGTTCAATCCAAATCAACTAATTTTGGGTCCACTAAAGGTTCACTAAAATGATTCCACTTGATTGAATTCACTTTTAATGGCGATACAACATAGATGTTATGTGTTTGGGGTCAGCTGTAGAGAGAGAGAAATTACTTGCATAGCCTGATTGTGTTTATCTGTTTAGGAAACACCAGAGCAGAAGGAAGGGGCCTTTTCCAACTTCAGGATCTCCGATGTCACCATCAAAAAACTGAAAGGTAAGCATCATATTTACATCATCATTGGTTTTCACCACTGATACTTGAGAGAACAGGTATACTGCTACATGTCCAAAATCTGTTTTTTACAAAGCTAAGTAGTCTGTGTGCTTTACTGAACTTAACTTCATAACTTCTTTAAGATTTTTGAGCACTTCTGTGTGTTTTGTGTCAACCTTTGTGAAGTGATCTCATACTAAGGTGCAATTTTCTGTTGTTAAGCCCAATTCATGCTTCTGCGTAAAAGCTCCACTGTAGTCTACGTGTAGACGTGTACCCCTCACAGAGCCCGGCTCCGTACCCTGATGTGCACCTCCCCAATAATGTTACTACGTATCGAGGCGACGCAGACTGCAAGAGCTGTGATTGGTCCGACTCTCTTGCCGCCATTTTTGAATTGAGTTGAAGGAACGAGCACGGTTGAATTCTTTCTTTTCTTGGGTGCTGTTCTTTAAGAAAAAGGAATTGCTCTTGAACATCTATCAGCTCCAACACGATCCGCTCGCCATTGTTCTAGAGTAAACAGATGCCAGAAAATATGTAAATAAGTGGACGAGAAACAGGAAGACACTGAACACCAGCATAGAAACTCAGAGTCGTGTCCACTTTCACTGACAATGACTCAAGGTTGTCAATATATTGAGAGGCAAAACTGTTTTTGTACTGAAAATGTCCTCTGGAGAGTTAACTATGGACTTTGGAGCTCAATAATGTCTGTCCCTCTCCCTGTTCTCTCATGCAACTTTCTTCCCCTTCTCTCTCTCTCTCTCTGTCACTGTCTCAGCTCGGGGAGTCACTTACCTGTTTGACATTCAGTCGAAAACATTTAATCCAGTGTTTGATGGAGAAGATGTAATCGCTCAAGCTCGAACAGGAACAGGAAAGACTTTCTCCTTTGCCATCCCATTGGTGGAGAAGCTCCAGAGGGATTCAGTGGTGCCGGTCAGAGGCCGAGCTCCCAAGGTGCACACACACACACAATCTACCAATCACACTCACTCACGTATACAAATCACTGAAAACTAGCATCATCCAGTCTCAGGAGCAGTTGCTATCATGTTTACATAAGACTGAGTCTCCTCTCTGTCTGTCTGTAGGTCCTGGTGTTGACTCCAACCAGAGAGTTAGCGATCCAGGTCGCTAAGGACTTCAAAGACGTCGTCAACAAACTTTCCATCACTTGTTTCTATGGAGGCAGCTCATACAACCCACAGCGTAAGTCTCATGCTAAAACAGTCTCTTGCATAGAAGTGCTCATCATTAGACATTCATATTGGAGGCATTTTGGTCAACAGTTTTAAATAGATGTAAAAGGAAAAAGCAGAAACAGGAGCTTGTAAAGTCAGCAAATTAGTTTTTTTATGCCTCAGTGCCAGGTATCAGCCAGTGACTGGAGGCATTACGTTCTCAAGGTTGTCCGTACGTTTGTCCGTACAGCCGGCCCAATTCCTCAAATTTGACACAAATAATCAAGGATGAATTGATTTCGGTGGTCAAAGGTCAAGGTCACAGCTCAAAAACATGTTTTTGCTCTCTTGAATGTGATATTTCAAGACTGCGTGGGGGAATTTCTTTAACTTTTGATCAGTTGTCACGTTAATTTAAAGAGGAAGTGATTACGTTTCAGTGATCAAAGGTCACAGTGACCTTATATCAATCTGGGGAAAAAAAGATGTAGAAATATGAACACAGAAACTGCACTGGTTGGCGGAGCCATACAACAGTGGTGCAGTGGTTCCCGTCTTTTTCTTTCAACAGCATACTTAAACGTAAAATGATCAGTTAAATTTATTACGTTTTTAACAATAATCAAAGATTTTCTTAACAGAAAGCAAATAACAAATGTTTAAATACACACAATAATTACAGATATTACATAATGACTCTCTCCATTTTTTCCCCCTCGTCTAGTGGATGCCATCCGTAATGGTATCGATATTTTGGTTGGAACCCCTGGTCGTATCAAAGACCACCTCCAGAACAACAAACTCGACCTGTCAAAGGTGAAGCACGTCATTCTGGATGAAGTGGACCAAATGTTGGACATGGGATTTGCAGAACAGGTTGAAGAAATTTTGGCTACATCATATGAGAGAGGTAAAGTAAATCTGTGTGATGGTTTGTGAAATAAATTTGAAAAAGTAAAAAGTCTCAGATTAGATATAGCATGTTTTTTCCCCTCGTAATGACAATGGTGGGTTTTATCATCTCTCTCTGTATGTCTCTCTCTCTCTCTCTCTCTCTTTTCTCCCTCTCTCTCTTTTCTCCTCTTCAGAAAACGACTCCAATCCCCAGACGCTGCTGTTTTCAGCCACCTGCCCCCCCTGGGTCTACGACGTGGCCAAGAAAT